GAATTTGTTTGTTTAGAAGCAGAAAGCCAGTTGGCTTAATAAAATTTAGAGTTATTTAATTATTTAGCAATTTTTTTTTTTAGAAAAATTTTGTACGAGTGATAGACGGGGAGAGAGGGTCCTAATAGTTTTCTATATATTTTTTATTAATTTTTTATTTTAATTTTTTTTTAATTCTTTCTATATTTATATTTTAATTTATTTTTTATTATTTTTTTATTATTTTATAAGTATTTTTTTTTACATTTTTTTTTAGGATTAATAAATTTATAACTGTGGTTATTGTAACTGCACTATGTAATATTAAATTAAGCCAATTAAATTTCAAGATTAGGTGTAATGCAAAATCAAAACAAAAACTATTTTTTCTAAAAAAAATTTAATAATACAAAATTTTGATTATGAAACTATTTTCTATGTTCTAACAAAAAAATTCTTTCTAAAATTTTGATATAAACTATATTTTGCTTTAACTATAATATTACTCTAACTCTAACCTTTAATTGCAATAGCTTATTTTATAAAAAAAATATTGTTTTGATATTCACATTACACCTGATCTTAGTTATAGTTATAAAAAATTTATTGTAACCCATAATTACAAATTAATTAATCCTTTTTTTTATATTTATTTATTTATTTTTTTAATTTTTTAATATATTTTTTTATTAATTTTTTTTTATTTTTTAATTAATTTTTTTATTAATGTTTTTTTTATGCTTTTTTTGTTAATTTTTTTTAAAATTCTTTTTAATGCTTTTTTTAATTCTTTTTAAAATATATTTTTATTTTTTTTTATTTTTTAATTAATTTTTCTATAAATATTTTTTTTTTTACACTTTTTTAGTAAATTTTTATTTATTTTTTTGATTTTTTTTTAATTTATATATATATATATTTAATTTTTTAATTAATTTGTTTGAAATAATATATATGGTGCACCTATGCATTTAGTGCCCTTTAATTGCCAATAAGCACAATATTAAAGCACTAATGAAGATTAGGGTTAGGGTTAGATGAGTTAGAGTAAAATTGCGTGAGGAACATTTTTTGTTAGTAGCACAACAGGTTGCCCTTATAGTTGTTAGACGAAACCTTTTTTGCTTGATGACGAAAGTCCTAAGCTCTAAATGACGAAACCTCTGTCGAAAGTCGAAACCTCAAATCCTTCTGACGAAAGTCGAAAACCAAACTTAAAATGACGAAGCCCTAGTGCTCCCGCTAAAAAAAAAAAAAAAAATGAATAAAAAAATTGAATAAAAAAAAAGTGAGGATTACTAAAAAAAATCCATGTTATTAACGAAACTCTGGTGCTCCCGTTAAAAATTGATGAAAATCTATGTTTTCGGCAAAGCTAAGCTATTAATTTAAATAAACTCTATAAATTTATATATTTAAACAAAAAACAATGATTTATTATTGAGGCTTTTTTAAAAAGCCAATTATAGAAATTATAAATAGGTAATAGGCCATTAACTTCTCTCGAAATATTTAACCAAATAAATAAATATAAATATAGACATATTATGATGAATTTAGTAAATTAGATTCAAAAAATATTTCTATAGAAAATTATAATACACGGCAATAAAGTTTAACATCATAATAGTAAACTAAACTTGTCGATGAAATTACCGGTCTATGAAGTGATTTTCGGTGAAATAATATGGATCTCTTTTTATTAAATCTTATTAATTTATTGTCTGTACTAATTTGTCTTTTATTCAAGTCAATTTACATAACAATTATTTTTAGAAATATGCAAAATAATTAAGTTTCTTATTAAAATTAATCTATGTATAAATACCTTTCGTCACCTTCCGTTAGTTTCGTTATCTTTTGTCAGTTTCGACATTTCGTCATTTGAGATTTTAGTTAACGAAAGTCGAAACTAGGTTTCGACTTTCGTCAGCGCGAAACCTCAAGGTTTCGTCTAACAACTATAGTTGCCCTAGTAAAATCGATATATAGAGGGGTGTACCAAATGCATAGTGCACTATATAACAATTTCCTAGTTTAAATTATAATGATTCGAACGTTGAATTTATAATTTTCATTATTATTTTTTTTAATGTCAAATTTTTATTATAAAAATCTTTTTTTTTAAATTTAGATTTTTAATTCAAATAGTATCAAATAAAATAACAGATTTAATTTTCAAACTACTGTTATATAACTGTCTAGAGCAGAGGTCCAAAAATTCTTTTCGGGGTTAATTTGGTAACTAAAATTTAAGTTAGAGAACAAATGCTTGGGTTTAGTAAGTGCGTTAAAGAACCGAAGATTTAAAATTATGTTATTAACAAGAGTTTCTGATAATGCCCTATAAAAAAGTCGATCCGTGTTTTATATCCCATAAATGTTGCATATTCTCGGAGTTTATAACCTTATAATAAGAAATTCACTATAACGAAGGTTCACTATAACGAGAGTGATTTTGTATTAAATTATATGTATATAAAAATTATATCAATGTAAATCTATATATAAATTCTACATAACGTTAAATAAAAATAATTTCTTGATTATAAATAATGTTAAATTTCCTGGTTTATATCGACTTGCTCTATTTGTGTTTTACCGAATAATTTATAATCACTTTCTTCATTTTCTTTAAATTCTGTAATAATCCGATTTAATTCAGGTAAGTTAAAAGTTCGGCTTGTAAAGTATGCCTCCGCATGTTGTACTGTTGGTCGAATAGAAATTTCTTGAAGTTCCTTATCAGAATTTCGAAATTGTATGATAGCCTGTTTAATTTTATCATCTCTTATATCTTCAATATCTTTGTTGTAATTTTCCCAACAATTGTATATAATATTTAATAATTCTTTAGTTGTTGGTCGTTTAGAAGGATCTACATCCCAACATCTTTCAATCAAAGATACGTAAAATTGCGGCACATAATTAGCGATTTGTGGCCTAACACCTTTACTAATATCAACAAAAAGATTTATATTATGCGAAAGATTATTAAATGGTGGTTCACCAGCTGTAATTTCCCACATAAGCATTCCAAAGCTGTAAATATCTGATTTTTCAGTATAATGTTTTTCTCTTAAAACCTCAGGTGCAATATAAGGAAGTACGCCATATATTTCATCATTTTTTAATGAATATTTCTGAACTCGTTGTGACAATCCAAGATCACTTATTAATGAAATGTTCCAGTCATCATTTTCATTAAAATAATTACACACTAGTATATTTCCACTGTGCAAATTTTTATGAACTAGATTTAATTGATGAATTTCAACAAGCCCGAATATAATTAAATTTAAAATAAATAATCGTTTTTTCCAATTCATCCTACATATCTTTTGTAAATTACTTCTTAAACTTCCTCCATGTGCATAATTCATCACAATTATATATTCTGAAGTCTCAGGATCTTGTGTGATTCCAAGTAATGGAAATAAAAACTCTGTCATCTTAAAAGCACTTAAATGATATTTTAACTAAATTATAAAAAAAAACAAGTCCGATTTAATGACGAATTAAACAAATAAATTCATGCAATGGATTAATTATTGAATATCGCTGTTTGCAAATGTTTTACAATACCTTCGAGTATCTGATTGTGCGATTGCAAATTATGATTTTAGTAAATATTAATATGACATGTAAAAAAAATGATTAAATGTTATATTTATATTGAATCTTTGTCTAAAAAAACAACATTGTAATCGTACAATCGGACGGCAATCAGGCGATTTCGATTTATTGAAACATGGGCTACGATTAGAGATGTGATGAATGCACATTTTTCTATATAAAATATCATGAACATGAAAACAGAATCATGCGTATAAATGTAAATTAATGCACATGCATGAAATCGCATTGATCCGTCCCTCTAATATCTGGGCTGACAAACCATTTTTCGGTATTCATTCGCATAGCCCAACTCTACTTTCAATATTTCTATATAAAATTTTTGATGGGATAATGCGCATGTATGAAACCCATCTCTAGTTGTGATCTATAAAATTTGATCTATGGTATATCATTTTGCAAACAGTGATAAATACAGTACATGAAAATGAACTTACTTCATTTAAGTATTGATCGTTAATCTTTGATGAATCATTAAGTCTTTTTAATGCAACCAAAAGACCATTGTTTAAATTATCACTATCCCGATTGGAAAATTCTTTATACTTCCAATTATCATCAATTAGCCCTATAGCTCTATGCCAATTATTCTTTTCGTGATTCCACTTTATAATACGTCCATCAATCCAGATGGCTTTATAAATATCACCGAATCCACCTTTGGCAACATACGCAATTTTTCTCAAGCGATTATATGGAATCCATTCTAGAACTTCAAACATATTTATAGCGTCAATCTGAGTGTTTTGTATAAATATATCAATCAATTGATTTCCACTTGTCCAACTTGAAAAGCTGTGCATAAATTTTTTGGCATTGCAAGATTTACACCAATATTCATAGGTATTTGGTTGATTGCATTCTGGACAGAGGCTATATTCTTGTAGAACCTCTTCACTGGATGAATGCGATAAGTTTGGTATAAATCTGTTATAGATAAGAATCATGATAAAAATGTTACATACTGCATGCCTATATTATTAATTCATTATTACTATTTACATGATGTTTAAAATAATTACATTTTTTTAATTTTATAATTAATCTGATCCAAGAATATTCTTCCGCTACTTTAAAGAAATAAAATGTGTTACTTTAACTATCGTAGATAAGTGATCAATGAAATAATATTGTAATGAAATATTCTTAAATTTAAGCGACTTAATAATATTAATAATTTGTGCAGACTATAAATTAATTTAAATGCAGTGGCATACCTTAAATCGTTAGCCGATTGGGGAGCATCCCATGTAGTTGTTTTTGAAATGTAATCAAAGAAATACTGTCGACCACTTTTTGGATCGAATCGCGTTTCCCAGCCATAGGGAAGTGAAATTAAACTTATCATATGTTGCTGTGCGGTTTTACGAGGATCTTTCCTAGTCATTATTCTCATGTCATGATTAACGAAATATGCTTTACCATTGACTATAAGTTTTCGTTCTTAATTGTGCAATAAATCTAAAAGTTAATTTCATTATACGTATATCATATTCAAAATCACATATGGGACCCGCCGTAGCAAAACGATGCAATGAGCCAACCAATCAGATTTTGGGAAAATTAATCGTGATGTGATTCTCTCAATATCACATGATTGCCTCATTGCTTTGCTTCGGGTGATCCCACATATATCTTTGCAATATTTACCCGAAGAAATTGGTAAAGTAGATAGATTAGTCTGATCATTTCTTGATGCTTTGCTTAAATCTGCAAATTCCTTTTCATTTTTACCCATTATACGATAGACTTCACTACGTATTTTTAGTGCAATTGCATTATTTGGTTCAATTTCTAATGATTTATTTAAATCTAAAACTGATTCTTCATATCTTTTCATCAAAATATAAACTTCACCACGTATTCTTAACGTAAATGCATTATTTGGTTCAATTTCTAATGATTTATCTAAATCTGCAAGTGATTCTTTATATCTGTTTATCATGCGGTAAGTTTGTCCACGAATTCCTAGTGTAAATGCGTTATTTGGTTCGATTTCTAATGATTCATTTAGATCTGCAAGTGATTCTCTATATCTGTCCATCATGTGATAAGTTCGCCCACGAATTCGTAGTGCAAATGCATTATTTGGTTCAATTTCTAATGATTTATTTAAATCTGCAAGTGATTCTTCATATCTGCTCATCAACAGATAAGTTTCACCACGAGTTCTTAATGCTTCTGCATCATTTGGTTTAATTTCTAATGACTTATTTAAATCTGAAAGCGATTCTTCATATTTTCTCATCACGCGATAAATAACTCCACGATTACATAAAGCAAATACATTATTTGGTTCGATGTCTAATGATTGATTTAAATCTGCAAGTGATTTTTCATATCTTCTCATCATATAATAAATTTCACCACGCATTCTTAATGTAAATGCATCATTTGGTTCAATTTCTAATGATTTATTTAAATCTGCAAGTAATTCCTCATATTTGCGCATCATACGGTAAGTTTCTCCACGAATTCTGAATGTTTCTGCATTATCCGGATCAATTTCTAATGATTTACTTAAATCCACAAGTGATCTTTTATATATTCTCATAATACGACTAGTATCTCCACGAATTCTCAATTCAAATGCATTATCTGGTTCAATTTCTAATGATTTATTAAAATCTTCAAGCGATTCTTCATATTTTTTATATCTAATCATCATGTTGTAAGTATTTCCACGAGTTCTCAATGTAAATGCATTATCTGGTTCAATTTCCAATGATTTATTTAAATCTGCAAGTGATTCTTTATATTTGCTCATTTTGCAATAAATTTCTCCACGAGCTCTTAATGCAAACGCATTATTTGGTTCAAATTCCAATGATTTATTTAAATCTGCAAGTGATTCTTCATATCTGCCCATCATGCGATACGTGTCTCCACGAGTTCTTAATGCTCCTGCATTGTCATGTTCAATTTCTAATAATTGATTTACATCTGCAAGTAACACCTCATATCTATTCAACATGCGATAAGTTTCTCCACGAGCTCTTAATGCAAATGCATTATTTGGTTCAAATTCTAATGATTTATTTAAATCTGCAAGTGATTCCTCATATCTGCCCATCAGGCGATAAGTTTCTCCACGAACACTTAATGCAAATACATTATTTGGTTCAACTTCTAATGATTTATTTAAATCTGCAAGTGAATCTTTGTATCTTCTCATCATACGATGAGTATCTCCACGAGTTCTTAATGCTTCTGCATTGTTTTGTTCAATTTTTAATGATTTATTTAAATCTGCCAGTGATTCTTCATATCTTCTCACCATGCGATAAGTTCGTCCACGAATTCGTAGTGAAAATGCATTATTTGGTTCAATTTCTAATGATTTATTTAAATCTGCAAGTGAGTCTTCATATCTGCTCATTAACAGATAAATTTCACCACGATTTCTTAATGCTTCTGCATCTTTTGGTTCAATTTCTAATGATTTATTTAAATCTAAAAGCGATTCTTCATATTTTCTCATCAAGCGATAAATGATCCCACGATTACATAAAGCAAATACATTATTTGGTTCAATTTCTAATGATTTATTTAAGTCTGCAAGTGATTTTTCATATCTTCTCATCATACGATAAATTTCACCACGAATTCTTAATGTAAATGCATCGTTTGGTTCAATTTCTAATGATTTATTTAAATCTACAAGTGAATATTTATACCTTTTCATCATACGATAAGTATCTCCACGAATTCTTAATGCTTCTGCATTGGTTTTTTCAATTTCTAATGATTTATTTAAATCTGTAAGTGATTCTTCAAGTTTATTCAACATGCGATAAGTAGCTCCACGAACTTTTAACGCAAATGCATTGTTTGGTTCAACTATTAATGATTTATCTAAACAAGCAAGCGATTCCTTATATCTGCACATCATGCGATAAGTATCTCCAAGTCTACTTAAAGCATATGCATTAGTTGACTCAATTTCTAATGATTTATCTAAATCTACAAGTGATTCCTCATATTTGCCCATCATGCGATAAGTTTCACCACGCTTAATTAACGCAATTGCATTGTTCGGTTCAATTTCTAACGATTTATTGAAATCTGCCAGTGATTCTTCATATCTGCCTATCGTGCGATAAATTTCACCACGTTTAATTAACGCAATTGCATTGTTTGGTTTTATTTTTAATAATACGTTTAGAGCAGCAAGTGACCCTTTATTCATCTTTATCATAAAATGAATTTATACACGCTCTCTTAACGCAAGTACACTATCATCAGGTATTTCTTTGTTACAAGGACATAATAAACAAGTTATCGTTCTAGTATTGTGATCCACCAAATATATTCTACCTTTGAGCGTAGTTCTTTTATTCTTAAATAAATCAAAATAAACCAATTTACGAAATTTTATCAATAGTGTAGAATTAATTGCAGACCTTATTACTTGAACAAGTAATTCTGTAAATTTTACATTCTATTGAATAGAATAATGATAATGTTCATAGTTAATTAACGTATCACTATTTTTCTAAATTTGATCGTCTATTTGCGGTGATTAGTATATTATTAACTTATTTAAGCGAAAAAAGATCATTAAAAAGCAAATCACAGACTTGATTGTGTTGTATATAGTCTCTGGCTCATGCTTAAGCTCTTGAGCTGAGCGGAACAATTGATCATCAACGATTGAGCGAGACGATCATTTGTTCAAAGAATTATGATGATTTGGTTGATCTACGCTTTAATTACTGAATTAGCATTAGCACCTACTGATCTCACCTGATTGTTAAAAATCAGCTAACCCAATTTATTATCGTTATAGATTTGCTCAATTAATTTAAAACCTATTTTTGATATATCAGTGACGTAATGAGAAGTAAAAAAGGTTTCAGCAATACAGAAAATCCTATGGCTATTTAAATTATATTATTTATAAAAAGGAGCGTAAATTATGTTGGGGTTTATTTCCTTAAAACAAAATTTAATTCATAAAAAATTGATCTTCCGAAGATCTTTTGTTTTGTCGATTTCCCCCTTTTTTGTAGCTATAAATTCTCGGGTAGTTTATAAGCGGATATAAAATCCGGCAGATTGAGCTAAAAAAAAATAGTTGGATATCCACGGATTCAAGCACTAGTGCAGATTTTGCCATCATTTTCAACTCCAATTCCATTTCTATAATAATATTGTCACGTGTGTGACGGTGTGACGGTAATCTGATGTGATTGATCGTAATTAATTTATGATCGAAATATTAGTAGTAAAGGAGTGATGCGAAATGTAGTAATTAAATAATGCGGTTATTGTAATTATTGCATAACAATGTAGTAATAGCTATTAGCGTTAGTGTATAAATAGAAATGTAAAAGAGAAGAGAAATAGAAGTTTCTCGTTCAAGTAATAATTAATAAAGTCATACCCTTCGCTTGTCGTTTTGCCTTATCCTTAATAAACAAACAATAAAGCGAGTGTTCGTTCATTTTCTATAACCCTGAACTAGATATTCATCCTATATAGATTAACCCTGTGACAAATATCCACCTGGAATGTTCCAGCAGCGTCATCCATAATAACATACAACATTATATATTTCAACAGCACCATCCTTTAATATTACAGTATATTCAAAGCAGAATTATTTTTTTCAACTTTATATTATTTTACCTTATCTAATTCACAAGACTCACAGTGGATGCTTTAACTTGTTTGTTATTCTTAACTGATTGCCAAAGTTAGTAAGATAAGTAAGATGTAACAGGTATTTTTTGAAGTCATGCAAAGCCACATAAAAACCTGATAGAGTCTTGTAGCATAATATATATTTTATTTTAAATCAAAACCAATGGTTTTTGAATTTGTTTAGCAAGATTCAACAATGTATGACCAGAATGATTAAGAGCTGCCCAAAAGAAATTACAGCAGATCAGTATGGTAGAAAATTATACACGTCACTCTGGGGTATTTCATATATTAATTATCAAATATTTATCGGATATTATGTATAACAAAACTTATAGCAGATAGTCATATTTTACGTACGTACGTAGTGATTGGACCCGGATAGGCGCCACCCGGGTCACCCGCGGGTGGACGGGTGAAGTTTTGGCCACCCGGGTGGAAGCGGGTGGGTCACCCAACGGGTGACCTGTGAACAATAATTGCGACTTTAATTCAAATATGCACTTGTATGTATATTAATTGCCTTTTTTTTCTTAAAAAAAAACTTTCAAAATGGGTGTTATATTAGACTAGACTCATTCAATGAATCGGAGGTAAAATTTTAAACGTTACCATTTTGATAAAATTTCTAAACGATCCAAATAAAATTACTATTTTATTTTTACAGCTGTTTTTATAAATTCCGGAACAACTGAAAAAATTGCCGATGACCGAATTGATACGTTACCGAGTC